CTAGCCCATAAGGCTGAGGGTGTCCTGAGACATCCATTTTGGAGCGGGGTCCAAGAACCCACAGAGTTCAGTGGGGTCCATCAGGACCGTATCCAAACAAACTTGAGGGCAGTCTCCCTATTTATTACAGTTACACCAAACGTGGCAGGAGAGAAAGAGGGTGCCCATTGGGTAGGGTTGGCACAGTCAGGGAGCCCTAGGGGTATCATGGCCATCTCTGGGGACCCCACCCTGTGACAGTGTGTCATATAAAATTTATAATTGTATTGTCCTATCTTTTTATAATTTATTTTTAAAAGCTAAAAAAACCCTCTCCCTACCAATAAGGTGTTTATTCTCACCTTGCTACAGAAGGATTTGCTATCATATATCACTCTATTACCACCAGGGCTCTAAATCTTGTGGAAATCTGTGATTTAGTTCAACAACCCCCACGTGGGTGCTGAATATTTAATAGTGAGATTATCCCTAACTGTGCATAGGCCTGTTAATAGTACAGGGAGATAGATGGTTCAATCCCAATGTGTGAAAATGAAAAAATATAATTTTAGCTAAGATGCCGCCTCCTCTCTGTACATCCTACTTATATATTTCTTGATATTGACTGAGGAGAGATTTATTTGCCTGCAGCTGGGGTATAAAATGAACTAGCCAGAGATCAGGTTTAAATGTGGAGAATAGCAAAGAAATATGTACATAGCATCTCTTTCTTTTGACCCAAGGATGAAGTGAAATGGATTAAGTTGTAATGCAGTGTTTGTAGATGCTGTTCAATTTGTTCTTTCCATGCTGCTGCTTCCTGATATTTGTATAACTTTTTTTCCCTTTTCTGCACAGGTAGGTGCTGAGGGCAGATTTCAAATTTCTGGCTCCTGATGGCAGGGAATAGAACCTTAATGCTTAAATTAGAAGAGTGTTTAGCTGTTTCAACAGGAGACAGAGTACAGAATATGCCTGTGGTTATGTGTACCAAAAAACAGTGCTCCCAGGTGTTAGTTTTTATGTCTGTTTCCAAGGTTGCTCTGCAGCTGAACCAGTGCTACTGTTGTCTTATAAGAAAAGTATAAATTACAGTACCTTTTAAACTTAATGAAACTATTACAGTGTGCCATAGGAGTATATTTCTTTCTTTTTTTTTTATTTTCTAACATTTATGTGTAAGTTCAGCCCCTATTGAG